TCGAGAGACCTGATAATCTTAAACATAATAGGGCAAAAGAAGAACCTCCATGCAGAAAGCAAACATATAGAGGGATGATGTGTAGGCTCAGATAAGCATAAATCAAGTTATGCAAATATATGACAAGGGGGAAGGGGACCGAGGATGCTAAGGCACTGAGGCAAGTGTAATTTGTGTTAATAATCGATTTGCTTCCTCTCTTCAGTCACAGTAGCAGAAACCGTAGCTATTAAGCTGGTTGAGACCAAATTCCATGGATTCTGCAAAAAGAATGTGATTATTCAAATTATGCTGCCAGTAAAGATATGCAGCTTGTATTTTCATTCTGAACCTCACCAAAAAAAAAAATTATATATTACTATAAAAGAATAGAAACATCCCATTTTCTGAACTGTATTTATATGCAATTGAATGTGTATGAAATTAGATGGTTTAGGAGAATCTGTGGACATGAGTTAATAGGAAGCACTGTAAGTAAATCCCAGCATCAATTACTGTTTTATGTATTTGGGGAGGAGGCAGTATTTACAATATTTTGCCTTAATTTCGTCCACCAATAAAATAGGAACAGTTCCTACTGCTCTACTTCACTAGATTATTTAAATAATTAAATAGCAAAGCCTAGGCCTGGCCCTAATTTCTAGAGTGAGAAGTGAGCCTGCGTTGTCTTCAACTCAAGTTTCCCTGTAGGCAGAGAGCCCTTGTACTCCAGGAAACTCCCTGTAAGGGACACACTGATTTTAGGCCTGAGGTCTAGGTTGCTGTGGAGGTCAGGAAGTGCAGGCCACCCCGTTCCTTATGATTTCAAAGCTGGTGTTCCCCGTATGCTGACCATACCTCACAGCCTCAGAAGACATCAAACCCCCAAATGCAAATTGCCCCGGTGCTGCAATGAGCGAGCTCCCTACCCAGCAAGCCCCGGCTGAAAATTGCACTCAGTCCCTTGATTTTTCTCTTTAGCATTTTCATTGTGCAATGATCTGAGCTGAATCTGTAGTGACATTAGCTGACACTTTTTCTGGAAGTAGACCAATTATTGCAAGCATGAATTTTGAAGTGGAACCAGGTGCTGCACATGTGGGAGCAAATGTCCAACCCTAGATAGGTGGTAGGCATGATCCTCAGAGTGGAATATTTGTCTTCTGATGTTTAATTTCATAGTGTACCTCTGTGATTAATCAAAAATATATTTATTTAAAATCGCAATTATAATATTTGGGATTCAGTAGATTTTTTGCAGGACATTAGCAGAAACTTATTCTGAATCATACTTACTACATTTCTTGCTGAAACTTTATATTTCTTTTGGAACTGTAAGGGACTTCACCTGCAAGTATCTCCAGAATGTAATTAAGACCATCTGGTGGAGGGAATTGAGTTTAAACACATTTTTTCAGGAAAGGAAGCCAAAGTCACTCTTGGGAGTGGGGTCTCTAATAGTGTTTCCTTTTCCTCTAAAATAATAGTAGATTAAAACCATTCTGGGAAGTGCCAACAAAATCTTAATTTGATGTCCAAGGGCTGAAAAGCCAAAGCTAGAAGGAGAATCATGGGACAAAATGTGTTTACACGAATGCTGGATTGTTTCCAAACCTATGAAAATAGTGCTAAATCCTCCCAGGGTTGAACAATGGGTCTGAAATGAGGCATCGAAGAACAATTAATATATGTTAACTTGATCCCACCCATTATTACACTGCACAGGTTTTTTGTTTTTTGTTTTTTTCCTACAAGTATAAATACTCAACAGAGTGCCAAAGTTTTCTAATCCGATTGTTGTGCTAACATTTACTCAAGCAATCAACAAGGATTTGATTGGCGGTAGCCTGCATTATTGCTTTTATTTTTGTAAAACAATTTCAGGTAGAATATAAACCCTTTCAGAAGTTTGCTGAATCATGCATTCCTAGGCTCCTCATAAAAGTGGGTTTAATGTATGAGGTTTTGTGCAAAATCTGCAGATGCATCGGTACCTATACGTATGTTCCTAGGCTTGGAGAGGTGAATACTGCCAGGCGTTGCACGGCCGGCGGATCCCGGGGGGTAGCCGGGGCAGCCCCAGCCCCAGGGGGTGTCGGGCATCGCCGTGGGGCCGGGGTGGGGGCCAAGGGGTCCCATGTCCGGGCCAGGGCTGGGATGCGTCAGGCCTGGAGCCGACACCACAGCAGCATCGTGGGGCAGCGATCGATGGCCGCCAGGGGGCTGAGATGGGGCCAGGGCTGGAGGTTGGGGGGCAGGTTGCCCTCAGGGCCCTGCATCAAGCATACTTATTTTCAGCATCTGACTTACGTTGAATAGACAGCTCTGTGAGCAAGAGAGTGTTTTGGACATAGTATCACATAGGAGGAGGTAAGATTGTTCATGCATGCTAGAATCAACAATATTAGGTTTTAGGGTATACCCTGAAAACACAGCGTACCTATTTAATGTCTCGTTTTCTTTCCAGATGTAGGAGTTTCTTCTTCTACATTTATCACAGCTAATGTTGCCCAAGTGGCTATTGGCAGAGCAAAGCTGTCTTCCTTCACTCGACCTCCAAACGTAGAGAAATAATCGTTACCTTTTTTTATGACAGCTGACAGCTAACAGTGGGACCACAACCTCAACAAATTGAGAGATTTCCTATCGTTTATTTTATTTAAAAAAAAACTTTGATCTGAAGTGCATATGAGAGGTAGGGAGGGGAAAGGAAGAGGAAGGGACAGTATTAACTGTAGGGAGTGCATGCAGAGTAGGATAACAGTTTTGAAGTAAATCATATAACCAAACCATAACAGGAAAATCTTTGATAGTCTGAACATTGTATAGAGCCAGTACGCTCTCCCCAAAGCAAAGTGACGTTTCATTAGTGTTCCTGGAAAGCCTGGATATGAAGTTTCCCTAGGTAGAATTATCAGATCTAAATTGCTAAATAACCTCATTTTCCTCCCTTACCCTGGTACCCACCAACAATGAAAACAAAAAAAAAACTCCTACAGAAGAATTTGCAAAGAAATAATTTGGGATCAGCAATCTGAGAAGAAAGTGAGATACAAAGATATGAATTGGACACTACTCATTACTTTAAATGAATATTTGGTGTGGTGGATGTGAGCACTGTTTGTCTTTGAGTAAGTATTACTTGCAGTTTCAGTCTGCTGAAGATGTTTCTTTCATCTCCTCAAACCATTTTCAAAAACACACACCAAAGTGTCATACCAATACTTGTTTCCTTATTTTAGAATTGTGGAGCATAGAGCCGTTTCTCATTCTTTCATGGAAATAGTGCTGAATAGTACCTAATTTCGTCTTTTTCACTTGTTCTCAGCGTCCTTGTTTTCAGCCATCTTATATGATACAGTGAACTGCGGCGAGTTATTCAATTCTCAAGACAATTAGTTATTTTAGCACTGATGAGAACATTTTGTTTACACTCTCTGAAAACAGTAAGAAAAAACTTTTTGGCTTGTATAGTAATGAATAGAAACAATTTGGATAGAAATTAGAATTTTCAAGCCTTGAGCCTTATAAATCTTGGCCTTTGGTAATATAAAATGAGTGTCCTTTTAACTATGTGATCTAATACAAATAGGTTGTAAATATGGTAGTTCCAGGTCACAACACACTTAAATTAAAGTCACGAGCAATGTATGCTAAAGTTCACTTCAAAATAAAGCAAATAAATATGTGAGCCTAGGCAGTTCTGGAGAATTAGTTCTAAAGAATTGTAGTTTCCTGTTGATATGTGCCTTACGGTATCTAAGACAACTTTTATGTGTGCCAGGAGTGCTTATAATGTTTTTCTTCCATTCAATGTCAAATAAAGTGAGACTTCCATGTGCAGCCTTTCTATCACCAGGGCCCTTTAATGGCCTTTCTCCTTTATCAGGCCACCTATTTTCAAGACACCTGTAGAAGAATAACTATCTTTGGGACCTCTAGCCTCTGATTCACACGTGGCTGAAATCAGAGAGCATATTCAAAAAATTAATAGAGGGAAACACATGCTCACACAAACACAGACTTCATAAGCCTTCTTTTTTTTTTCCATAGGAAATTGCTCTAAAAAGATACTCTTCTGCCTCTGGGTTTACAAGAAATGATCTCATTGTAATCAAAACGGATGTCCTATAAAAGACATTGGAAGCTTTTTCCATCCAAATGAAAGATAAACAGTTAACACTGCGCAGTATCAGAAGATTAAACAGGCAGCTGTAAGTGATACACTAGTGAAAGAGGGTGTAATGTACTGCTTAAAGAAGCAAAGTTCTGTTTCTTTTGGAAGGGAGGCAGGTTTTTTGCATTATGTGATGGACTTCTGCATCCATTCTCCTGCTACTATTGAGTGTATTTCTGATGGTAAAATAAGTTCCTTTTCACATCAGTTTGTTTCCTGTTGCTGTTGTTTATATGGGGATTCCCTCCCCTAATAACATAAAAACCTTTTCTAATGTCCAGTATACTGGAATATCATATAGACCTTCAGGGTTCACATTAAATCAGGAATAATACGAAATAAAAGTGATATAAAGATTGGCCAACGCATAAAGGAGAAGTTAGGGGGCAGGAAAGATTTTATAGAGAGTATGAAAAAAAATTGTAAGAAATACCCTCCGTCTAGAAATGCCTTCAGATGATATAGACAGGAGTAATGATTCATAAATAGGAAATTATGAAAGAGATAAATGATCCAAAGTTACAGGAAAATTCACTTTTCATGTCTAGTAAAATGAGCAAACAGAACAGACTTTTCACCTCTATTGGGGAGAGCTCAATAATATGATATTTACACTGATCAGCTAAAAATACCAATAGGATTGAAGAAGCAATGGATTTTGCAGTGACTGATGCTGCAGAGCAG